AAGCTCTCCCTCCTCTGCGAGGACAGATCTGCACGTTCCCCAATAGCTAGCAATCCAAAACAGTCCAGTGGAGCCTAAGCGGTGGGTGCTGCCTTCTGACACACTTCCGGTGATGTCGGGGTGTGTGGCATATGCAAATAGGTTATGCTAATGAGCGCCTGTACCTCTTTTTGTACGAAATGACCCCTGGAGACAGGTGACGGGGGAGGTTGCCTTCTGACACACTTCCGGTGATGTCAGGGGGGGTGGCATAAGCAAATAAGTTATGCTAATGAGCTCCTGCACCTCTTTTTCTACGAAATGACCTCTGGAGACAGGTGACGGGGGAGGTGCGTGAGTGGGGGGGCCAGAGGCAGTGGACCCCACCAGGAGCCCTGGGCCATCATTGGTGCCCCACCTTGGGCGTCCAAGGAAGCTGAGGGGCAACACATTCAGGACGGACCAAAGGAAATACCTTCTTTACACAGAGAGTGATTTAAATGTGGCAGTTGCTGCTGGAGGAGGGCGTGATGGCCACAGGAATAAGCAGCTTGAAAAGGGGATTGGATAGATTCCTGGAGGAGAAGTCTATCAGTAGCTACTAGCCGTGGAGGCCGAGGGGAACCTCCACATTCAGAGGTACTAAACTTCGGAATCCCAGAGCCAGGAGGCAACATCAGGGGAAAGCCTCGGCCTCTATGCCCTCTTGCTGGCCCTGCAGAGGAACTGGTTGGCCACTAGGCTGGACTAGATGGATCACTAGTTTGATCCAGCAGGGCTCTTCTTATGAAGGCCTGGGTCTCTCTGCCCTGTTGTTGGCCCTCCAGAGGAACCGGTTGGCCACTGTTGTGAGACAGGATGCTGGACTAGGTGGAACACTGGTCTGATCCAGCAGGGCTCTTCTGATCACCTTATGAAGGCCTTGGCCTCTCTGCCCTGTTGCTGGCCCTCCAAAGGAACTGGTTTGGCCACTGTGTGAGGTGGGATGCTGGACTAGATGAACTATTGGTCTGATCCAGCAGGGCTCTTCTGATGTTCTTAGGCTGAGGCCAGCCCTGGCAGGAAGTACCCCTGAAGTTGCACGAAGGACCCTCAGGGAGAAGGCTTCATACTGTACTTTGCAACCGGCCTGTGACTCGTGTCAAGGGAGAGATCCTGCATCGCGTTTCCTCTGGTCTGAAGGGATGCGTTTCCTCCACTGGCAGACAGACTCTGGTATGCTCCCCAAAATCCCTGGCCTCTCCTGCACGAGCCCCATCCCCAACCACGGAACGGCACAGAAGCTGCACGGCGGCAAAAGCTCCACTCGGACAGCTGGGAGTCCCACCCAGGCAGCCCCTTCTCACCTGAGCTCATCGTAGTCTGCGCCGCCCACCTGCCGACTGGCTTTCAGCAGGTCCAGGATCCCGCCGGCGCTGCTGCCGCCCTCCAGCTGTTCATCGCCAGATGCCTCCTCCTCCTCCTCGTCCTCTTCTGTGGTGTAGTCCTCCTGGGGAAAAAAAATTCCCCCCCCAAGTCTTGCTGACTACTTTGACTTGCGGGTCAGACTCTCACGGCTGTTTTCTCAGTACTTGTTTCCTAGGCAGTACTGGTTCCTAAACCTCCAGAGAATACCTGGGTCGGGAGGCCAGAGACAGGCCACCAAGCCACTTCTATGAATGTCCTCCATACCCTGGTAGGAGTCGCTAGAGCAGGGGTGGTCAGACTGTGGCTCGGGAGCCACATGTGGCTCTCTCACGTATACTGTGTGGCTCCCGGCAGGGCGGCTGGGGAAGCGAAGGGGAGTCAGGCTTTCTCTTCCTCCCTCCCTCACATCTGTTTTCTTTCTCTCTCTTTCTTTCCACCTCTCTCTCTCTCTTTCTTTCCACCTCTCTCTCTCTCTTTCTTTCCCCCCCTCTCTCTCTTTCTTTCCACCTCTCTCTCTCTCTTTCTTTCCACCTCTCTCTCTCTTTCTTTCCACCTCTCTCTCTCTCTCTCTTTCTTTCCACCTCTCTCTCTCTCTTTCTTTCCACCTCTCTCTCTCTC